CTTTTGTGGATTTTCAGTCAATTTCATTGAAAAATTTGACTACAATCATCAAAATACGGAATATCGGGGGTACTGTTGTATGGGGCTATATGATAGCATGGACCGATATAGCCCATCTTCGAACTTGATTTAACGGCAGACAAAATACAACTCTATGATGTACTATGATTACAGTAGGTGGATGAGCAGGGCTAAATCGTCGTAGAATTTTAGTCTGCAACTTATATGTACTAGCTTTATATGATATGTGCTCAACTAAATGTTCCCTTTGGACGTGAAGACCCCAAATTGTATCTAATTATCCATTATTATCAGTTGCGCATACAGATCTTAACAAATTACACACAGCGTAGGCATACAGTGAGAGTCAAAAGAAAGTGTACACGAATGTTTATTATGTTCCATGTATTATATAAACCATATCAAGTAATATTGTATACAACAAATTATGTTTTTTGAAAATGGTATTTACCCCTCTCTTATTTTCTAAAAGAAAAGTTAACAAAATCCCACAAATAGAAAAATTGCATAACAAAAACAAAAAATAGTCCATATGTGACGCGTCAAAAGAAAGTGTACAATGCAAACTTAATATATAAATTCATATATTAATATATATATTAGTATTTTGTTTGCTTCCCATTTGCTTGAATTACAGCCTGTAATCTTCTCGGCATCGAATTGACTAAATTTTCGGTTACTTCGCGTGAAATTTTTTGCCATTCCTCCAATATAGCCGATTTGAGCGAGTCCTTGCTACGAATTTCTTTCTTTCTTATTTCGCGATCGAGATGTTCCCACAAATGTTTGATTGGGTTGAGGTCCGGAGATTGGGGAGGGTGATCCAATTGCTTAGGAGTGTGATAAAGCAGCCATTCCTTAACTATTTTTGAAGTATGCTTTGGATCATTGTCTTGTTGAAAGATCCAACCTCGATCCAAGCGCAACTTTTCAACACTAGGCTTCAAATTTTCCTTTAAAATGTTAAGGTATTCCATTTTATTCATTGTGGTTTCTATGAAAACCAAGTTACCAACTCCACCAGCTGCCATGCATCCCCAGACCATCACTGAACCTCCGCCGTGCTTTACAGTGGATACTAAATTCTGTTCCGCAAATTCACTGTTTTTGGTCCTCCAAATTTTAGCAGGTTTCCTTTTGCCAAAAATTTCAAATTTGCTTTCGTCGCTAAATATTATATTATTCCAGAAAGAAATATCTTTATTTTTATATTTATTAGCAAAATCGAGTCGACGTTTTTGGTTGGTTTTGGATATTAAGGGTTTTCTTCTTGGAACCCTTCCATGAATCCCGTTAGCGTGTAGTGCTCTACGTATTGTACTGGCACTAACAGTAGTTCCAGACGATTCTGAAATTTCTTTGGATATTTTAACGGCACTTTCTACAGGGTTTTTCTTTACATTTCGTACAATCGATCGTATTTGAACCTCATTCAGTTTTCTTGGCCTGCCACATTTAGGACGATTTTCCAATTTTTGGAACTTTTTGTACTTATCAATTATTTTTTTCACCGTATTGTGGCACCTGCCGATAGTTAAACCAATTTCACGCAGTGTTTTTCCCTCATTGTGAAATTTTATGATAAGCTCACGTGTATCGAGTGAAGTTTGTTTACCCATTATGGAAAATTTTTTAGAATGTCTTCAAACTTCAATTGTTGCTGACCAATTCACTACTAAATCATTGACAGTATTAGAACCAATAAAAGAAAAACAAGCAGAAAGGAAAAAAGAAAAAATAACGGTAAAATCTAACTGTGTCCAATCTCTCATGTATTGGAATAACATGTTGTACACTTTCTTTTGACGCGTCACATATGGACTATTTTTTGTTTTCGCTATGCAATTTTTCTATTTGTAAAATTTTGTTAATTTTTCTTTTAGAAAATAAGAGAGGGGTAAATACCATTTTCAAAAAACATAATTTGTTGTATAAAATATTACATGATAGGGTTTATATGAAACAGGGAACATAATAAACATTCGTGTACACTTTCATTTGACTCTCACTGTATCTTTATAGACTGAAGACGACGCATAAAGCACATGGCTGCTAACCAGTTTCAATTACGCATTTGTTGATTAGAAAATCTGGCATTTCACAAAAACACAATCGTATTTCACCATAAATCCCCTTCTTGAATTCAGGTAGAACGAGAGACTCCCAAATTTTAAATATTCTAATGTGACGCATTTTTATAAAATCTTTAATTTGCATTCAATCACAGACAAATGCTAAGGAATTACGTTCTTTCTAAGAACAATTAAATTAAGCGTCCTTGATCACTGGTATTTCCCTCCAAAATGTTGAAATTCGTCTACCTACTTTAATACGCATATGCAGCTGCCTTTGTCAGACAAGATAAGAAAGAAGCGCACATACAAGAAAAGGGTATCGAAAATGTGCCATGTGTGGCAAAAACAACTTTTTCATTCTACCTACCTAACGGCAGAAACGTCGTTATTGTACTTTGGACTTTGTGCTCAAAAATACTGGCTTTAATACTGTCTTTAAGAAACTGCCCTTGTTGTGGTGAAAGAACAAAAAATACTGGTTTTGTTTGAAAAATCACTCAAGAAGAGGAAGAAGGATCAGCAGTAAGTAAATGACAAGGCCAAATCAATGATCCACTCAATTGTGTGTGTACACTTTACACACATAGAACTTGCGGAGAGAGGCGTCACAGCAACAGCTGCCTCTTAGCATGGCATCGGATGATGCTATGCTTTCCAAGAAATGCGCGGGAAACTCAATGCCAATTGTTTGTTTTTATTTCTCTACCAAGAATTGCTGATCGACGTCGAATAATTTGCCGCTTTGCCAATGAGGGAAATTGATATGTGATCTCAAACTCAAATAAATCGAGGACGTAGCAAATTTTTGAAATGTTTTAATCATTGAATGGAATTTATAAAAAAATCTGAACACTTAATGTTAATAGTTTGGTATATCTTTCATAGTTCTTCAACAAATGACTTTATAGACCCTCTTATGTAACGGAAATCCTCCTTCTCCTCCTTAGAAAAACTACTCCAAAGAATAATTTCTAGTCCCCCTTCGTACAGCGCCCTATTAATACCCTCAGCCATATGGCTAGAGAGGGTATATATCATTTGATACGGCAAAAACGTGGCTCATCGAAAAAAGGTTTTGGACCTTAGGTCTCTTTGGACCAAATTGGTTTCAAGACATTTGGAGTCGATCTAGCGATGTCCGTCTGTCTAGCTGGTGCGCATTATAACTCTCGAAGGGAATATCCGATTTGGTCCAAACTTGGTACATCGTAATATTATTTCTAAACTTAGATCGCGTTCTGAGATGGTTAATTTCGGTCCACTCCTTCTGGTACCTCCCCCACAAAAGGCCGAAATTTTCAAAAAAAAAAAATATTTCACTGCATAGAAAGAGAAAGGATAACCCAATTTTGCTGCAACTTTGCAAAACCAAATATTTGCATCAGTGTTAGTTCTGGTGCGAAAATGGACAATGTCGGTCCACTCCATCAAGTACCTCCCAGACAAAATGTCAAAATTTTGAATAATTATGACTCTTATAAAATGTGATGTAAGAGTCCGATTGTCCTTAAATTACAAACATCACAATATTTTCACTAACCCAAGGCCCGGAGTGAAGGTGGAATATATCGGTCCACTCCTTCTGGTATCTCCCACACAAAGGATCAAAACGTTGAATATCCATGAAGCTCATTAAACACGAAATTTGCATTCGATTCCATTCAGACTTGGCACATCTCAATATATCGATAAACACAAGATTTGGTGCAAAGAAGGTAGAGATCGGTCAATTTCTTCTGTTACCTCCCCCACAAAGGGTCAAATTTTTGAATAACAAAAACGATAATAAAATACGAAATTAGCATCCGGTTCTCTTCAAATTACACACATCGCAATATTTTTATTAACCCAAGGTCTGGTGTAAAGATGTGATGGTTTGGTCCTCTCCTTCTGGTACCTCCCCCACAAAGGGGTCAAAATTTTGAGAATTGATGAAACTCATAAAATGTGAAATTAACATCCGAATCCAATCAGATCTGCTACTTCACAATATTTCTATCAACACAAGATCTGTTATAAAGATGCAATATATGATTGTTATCAAATTTACTACCAGAAGAAACCTATATTTAGTGTATAGGGTACTAGAACCAGCCGTAGAACAAAAGTTACATGACTGAAATATAAATGTTTCCACGTCATGGATACACCAGCCCAAAGTTCAGACATAATTCCCATAGAGAATTTATGGAGCTATCTCGATAGAAAAATTCGCCAGCATAGCATATCTTGCAAAGATTTGAAGAAAGTTCTGTTGGAAGAATGGCAATAAAAACGTCACGGATACACCAGCCCAGAGTTCAGACACAAAACCCTATAGAAAATTTGTGGAGCTATCTCGATGGAAAAATTCGCCAGCATACCATATCTTACAAAGAAGATTTGAAGAAAGTTCTGTTGGAAGAATGGCAATAAAAATTGAACCTAGGTTTTGCGAAAAACTTGTTAAAAGTATGGCAAATAGGCTACAAATGGTGAAAAAGCAATGTCTATATGAGTTGCTTGTGGATGGATCCCCATCATTTCCCGAAAAAATATATCTTAGGCCATCAGAACCAAAAGTACCAAATTACAAAGACATTTATAGGAAAATAGAGAAAAAATCAGAAAAATATTTTGACAGCTAAGTTTTTAAAATATACAAATCTCGTGGCAGAAATAAGAAGCCGATTTCAATGGATAGCGACAAAAAGTTGGAGAATTCCAGAGCAACAAATTCGATTTTTATAAATATCTTCCATGTGAAAATCTAGCCTACAGTCGTAGTGTATCAATTCAATTTTGCAATGAACATTTTAAAATATTTTAGTATATTCACAAAATATCCTTGAAATCCTACAAAAATTCTGAACCTCCATACCAAAACATAATTACATCAACAACAATTTCTTTAAACAAATCTGGTTTTCCTTCCTCCCTACTCAGTACCAAAATAAAACAATTATGTGCCTGCCTCTCTGCCATTGCATGCAACTGACGGCATATGCTCTCTCATCGGCATTGCTTGTTTGTAGTTGTTGTTGGGCAAAGTAGGTAGTAAACATGCTGAGTACCTACCAAAACAACAAATTGAGTGAAATACTGGTATACTCAGCCAAATGCCGGCTGGCGGCATCAACCACTCGTTCTACTCTTGAGTTTCGCACAACAAAAATTCGTATCACCGCCACCGAAACCCAAGGCAAATCAGTCATCGTTGAGAGTTCAAGCAGTCAAGTTGTAAAATCGGAAAGGAAAAATCCGTAAACGTTCTGCAAAGAAAAAAATCTAAAATACCAAGAAATAGAAACAAAGGTGATTTGATGTAAAAAATTAAGAAACAGCAAAACAAAAATTAAATAAAATTATTTGCAATTTCTATCGATACCGGTTAAAGCCAAAAGTTTCGCATTTAAAAAAAAACGAGCACAGAGACATTGAATACACATTTTTTCGGTATACCTAAATTGAAAATGATTCGTTTTTCTGCATTCCAAGTGCCTATTGCGCAGTTCATGTGAAACGTGGCAACAATGGTTGTCAAACTAGTTTGTGTGTTTTGCGAATTGTAAAAGCGATTACGACGTGTAGTATCCATAAAAATTGCAATAAAATCAAATTTTTTGCTGAAGTCATAAAAGAATAAATTTCCAAATGTGATTTTTAATGAAAAAAAATATTTTCTATTCATCCATTTTAGATAACGAACGAACGCAAATCAAATATGACGCGCTACAAGCCAACAACGCCCTAACACAGACACACACATACATCCATACTTCCAATATGGGGACCGAGGGAGCTCTTACGCTTCAAGTCGACTCATTATACTCTGTGCAGTATGTCGCCAAAAGGTGGCGGCCCTCCGCGCGGTGGTCCCCGGGCAACGTCAATTTAAAGGGAATTGACGGCGAAAATGAGCGGCGCAAAGGTGGGGATTAGCTGCGTAATCCCAAAAAGGTGCTAGACAATCAAGTGGATTTCTAGCCCAAACAAAGCTGTTAGTGTGAGGCTGATCATCAGAGAGATATCACCTCAAATCAAGTGTTGAAGAATGCCCAGTCATTCTGAAGCGAATCGTTTGTTCGATGGATATGCTTAAGACGAGTTATCCAGAAGCTTATTGAGCACAGGGGGCCAGTGTGCCCCAAAATTCGAAGAGAAAAAGTCGTGTGTCGACTTTTTTGCCAATCAGAAATTATCATAAAGGTTAGATAATTGTGTAAAGATGCAAGACATCACCAGTGAGGGTGATTCAAGCGAAGAATCTTCAACGCATTGAAATGGATGCCGTAAAATCTGCACATCATCATAATTGCTGCAAAACACACAAACAACATCATCATCAAATCAGTTTGTCACAGTCGTTCGGTTGGAGTACCTATGGATTAGTAAGAACACTTGCCGCCCTACAAGTAAAGTCGAGGCTAGTCCACTGCGAAAAATCTGAAGGACAACACAAGCTGAGCTGCTGCATTATTTTCACATCACGCTTGATCAGGGGAAGTATGATGAGAGCTGCGCGAAGACCGTTCAAGCGGACATTTCGTTTGATCAGGGGAAGTGTGGTTTTAGTTGTGCGAAGACCGTTCAGGCGGAAACTCCGGTTATGTTAATCGATCTATGAAGACCTGCGATTTCGGGTAACGGTTCCTTGCCGGCCCAATGGATTCACCAAGAAAGGTTGCCCCCTCCCCCATCCTTTGGTGTAAACTGTTGAGGCAGCGTGTGGGTTGAGCCCGCATCTGAAACGCTAAAGTATTTGCGGCCCAAGCGAGAGCAAATAAACGATATTTCTGTTAGGGAGACGAATCGTAAAGGAAAGAGCCTTTGAAAAGATTTTTCTTCAAGAGTATCGGCAGTTTGCTGATAGTTTGGAATCTGTGAGTATGCCAAATGGATCTGGCTAAAATAACTCGAGTGGATGGTGTAAATTTTGTAAGGCAGCGTGTGGATTGAGCCCTTATCTAATTTGCGGCCCAAGCGAGAGCAAATAAATGATATTTCTGTTAGGGAGACGAATCGTAAAGGAAAGAGCCTTTGAAAAGATTTTTCTTCAAGAGTATCGGCAGTTTGCTGATAGTTTGGAACCCGTGAATGTGCTAAAGTGGCTGAACCCAAGTGTAAAATGTACGCAACAACAACACCCTCCAATGTGGAAGTTTTCATGGTACCGAGAAGACTCTCTGCAAAGGAAATGCGTCGGCATTTATCGGCAGCAGATCACACGGCCGTCTACGTCTAGTGGAGAAGAGAAATGGTATCGAATCTGGTCGGTGTTTACCGTCCAGAGAAGAAGAAGAACAATGGAGATTAAGAAAAATGTGTTTTTTCTTTGAATTCAAAATATCAAAAAGAACTGAAGTGTTCTACATCAGCGTGAGGAGTTTGATCGGGGAAGTCTCTCCGATTTTGCATAAAAAGCGAAGGTGTTAAATCAACCGAAGAAGTGTTCATCTGGGGAATTCTCTCCAGCTGAAGAAAATCTGTCAAGATGTCTTTGTCGAAGATATCAGTGAAGTTTGCAATCGTCGTCGCCTCGGCGATTGTGAGAATCGAGATTGGGATTGTCGTTCCAATTTTTTATAACAAGCTTAAAAAATCCAAAAAAAAATTAAAAAACCAATGTAAAATCCAAAAAAAAAAAATATTAAAACAATTAAAAAATGTTATACCCCCCACTCCCTGGGTGGGGGGTATAACGCCAAAAAAATGAAATTCGTCAATGTTCTTTTTATTTGTCATATGGAAAGGGTTGGGAGCAGTGTGAGGCAGAGAAAGAGTAGTGGTGTTGGCTATTGGCAACAAAATCTCATGAATGAAAATATTTTGTTGAGACATTACGACGTTGGAAGAGGGCATGCGCTATTCACGGGCGTGGTAGCTCCGTGGTCGCTCAGCTGTTTTTTGTTTTCTTCTATTCCTATTTGACAATGTTTTTTTGGCATAAGTTGAGTTTAGGGGCTATGCTTGGATTGACCTGAAATTTTTACCGCAGGTAGGTATTAGTAACCTGATTACGTCAATATAATTTTTTTGTGGGGGAAATACCCGGTTACCCGGTTATTCGACCCAAAATTTCGGATACAACATCCGGTTTATATCCGGTTCTACGTAACCGATATCAATAAAATGGGTATCATTTGAAAGCTTATGAAAATACCTATCCAACAAGTGGTCATATGACGGGGTTGCTGGAACCGGTTTCGGAGAAATTTAGGAAAATGTGCATTTTTGTATGAGTAATTTTTGAAAAACCCATAAAAACTCGAAAATGGACCCATTATAGGGTCTTAAAATCTATACACAATATTATAGCTAACACTATTGCCTTTCCAAAATGGTGTCACATGTGTTGATATCTTTGGTAGTTCCGAAGATATTGACTTTTAAAGTCGTTGCTTATGAAAGCAGTTTGAGTGAACCCAAGTTTTGTGTCGGGTTTAACGTTCTTGTTAATCTGCTTTGTTTTTAATTTGGTGTTGTTAGAATATTATGGATCGCGTAGTCGGTGTTGGACATATCCCAGAGGAGAAAATCTTAAGCCCCGGCCGAAGGCCGGCTGCTTACAAAAATTAAAATTTTTAGAAAAACTATGGATCGCGTAGCCGGTGTTGGACATACCCCAGAGGAGAAAATCTTAAGCCCCGGCCGAAGGCCGGCTACTTTCGAAAACTACAGTTTTTAGGAAACTATTGATCGCGTAGCCGGTGTTGGACATACCCCAGAGGAGAAAATCTTAAGCCCCGGCCGAAGGCCGGCTACTTACAAAAATTACAATTTTTAGAAAAACTATGGATCGCGTAGCTGGTGTTGGACATACCCTAGAGGAGAAAATCTTAAGCCCCGGCCGAAGGCCGGCTACTTACAAAAATTACAATTTTTAGAAAAACTATGGATCGCGTAGCCGGTGTTGGACATACCCTAGAGGAGAAAATCTTAAGCCCCGGCCGAAGGCCGGCTACTTACAAAATGTACAATTTTTAGAAAAACTATGGATCGCGTAGCCGGTGTTGGACATACCCCAGAAGAGAAAATCTTAAGCCCCGGCCGAAGGCCGGTTGCTTAAAAAAGCTATAAAGGTCAAAGTCAAATGCATCTAGACTGGAGAAAAATATAATTTAATGAATTCTATCTCTTATATCCACGGAACCACAAAAGATATCAACACATATGACACCATTTTGGAAAGGCAATAGTGTTAGCTATAATATAGTGTATAGATTTTAAGACCCTATAATGGGTCCATTTTCGAGTTTTTATAGGTTTTTCAAAAAGTACTCATACAAAAATGCAAATTTTCCTAAATTTCTCCGAAACCGGTTCCAGCAATATTACCACTTGTTGGATAGGTATTTTCATAAGCTTTCAAATGATACCCATTTTATTGATATCGGTTACGTAGAACCGGATACAAACCGGATGTTGTATTCGAACTTTTGGGTCGAATAACCGGGTAACCGGGTATTTCCCCCACAAAAAAATTACATTGCCGTAATCAGGTTACAAATACCTACCTGCGGTAAAAATTTCAAAATGATCCGAGCATAGCCCCTAAACTCAACTTGCTCCGTTTTTTTTGTCCAGCTGGAAATCGCAACACTCGACATGAGTTTTCATGGCTGACAGTGACCTCCCGTGACCCTTTAAAATGTTATTGCGAAATATTCGAATGCTTTAATTCTGTGGAGTTTTATTTAAGATACCTTCTTAGAATGAGGGGGCAAATGCCTATTAAATTTTGATTGTGTTGGTGGTCTGAGCTCTGGACAGCCATGACCTATCAGGGGGTAGAATTGTTTTAAATTAAAAAAAAAACATTTGGGTATAAAACGAACAAAGCCAATCCAGCAGGGACAATGAACTTCATATGTTCTATGAAAATTCTGTCGTTGTGTTGGCCCTACGAACTTTTTCTAGAGAAATATTTCGTCTATTGGGATTGTTTTCTAAAAAAAAACAATTCTGTCCCTGAGACTACCGACTGTCTACAGAGAAAATAGAGATGGATTGGGTTTTCTCTACAAAAAGATATTGCTCCCTTTAGATCTAGGCATTATTTATCAAGTGACTTGGTAGCTCAGGTAGTGGAAAACTTTCGGAGAAAAAAACAGTAAAGAAAGCCTTAAAGTCGGGCGGAATCGACTTTATGATACTTTTTCATATTCAGTAGAGCTTCACATAACAAATAAAAGTTTTTATGGGGAATTTGTGAGAATTAATTCGATTTTTAAATTTGCCGAGGCGTTTGTACCTTTTCAATTCGGGCTTATATTACCTATTTGGTGCACAAATAACATGAAATCGGATCAAGATATATATGAGAGTTATGTCTGATCTCGATTAAATTTGGCGAAGGTATTTCTGAGCTGTATTTGATATATTTTCGCCAATATCGTTGTTATCGAAGGCATATTACAAATCGGATGAACAATATATATGGGAGCTATAGCTACATCTGAACCGATTTTCACCAAATTTGGCATACTTGTTACAAGGCTCCATTCGGTCATAAGTGCCAAATTCCACCCGATATTACACCTTTTATGCACAATAAATGGCAAATCGGACGAAGATATATATGGGAGATGTTTTGTCAAATCTGAACCGATTACGATAACATTTGGCAAAGGTATTTCTGAGCTATATTTGATATATTTTCGCAAATATCGTTGGGAGCTATCTGCAGCTACATCTGAACCGATTTTCACCATATTTGGCATACTTATTTTCAGGCTTAATTTGGTCGTACGTGCAAAATTCCATTGGGCTGATATTCTACTTGGGATGATATTACACATTTGGTGCGAATTTCTGAGCTATATTAGATATATTTTCGCAAATATCGTTGGGAGCTATCTGCAGCTACACCTGAACCGATTTTCACCAAATTTGGCATACTAATTTCCAGGCTTAATTTGGTCGTACCTGCAAAATTCCATTGGGCTGATATTACACATTTGGTGCGAATATATAATGGAACTATATCTAAATTTTAATCAATTATCTCCAATTTCAACAGCGTTCGTCCTAGGGTCAACCAAATGACTTTCACAAAATTTGATCTGGATCGAGCAAAAAATTCGACCTGTACATGGACGGACGGACGGAGGGGCGAACAGACGGACGAACACGCACAAATCGGCTCAGAATGTGATCCTATGCAGATCATAGGCTACAGCCTATGCCAAAAATTTCGTATGCAGGTCCACGTTTTTGTATTGGCCCCATATAACGGTACCTCCCCCTTTTCGGTATTTTAATGATTTTTGCCACATTTTTTCATGGATTTGTGTACAAATTAGTATTTGTAGGTCATAATGGGTTCTGGCTCCGGTGACGAAACATTGTATGTATGGGTCGACGTTTTTGTATAGGTACCATATAATGGTACCCCCCGATATTCGGTATTTTGATTATTTAAGTCACATTTTTCCATGATTTTGAACAAAAATTGGTATTCGTAGTTCGTAATGGGTTCTGGTTCCTGTGGCCGAATATGGTACATATAGGTCCACCTTTTGGTATAGCTCCCATATAACGGTACCTCCCGATATTCGGTATTTTGACGATTGTTGCCAAATTTTTCAACGGATTTGTCTAAAAATTAATATTTGTAGGTCATAATGAATTCTGGCTCCGGTGGTGAAACATTGTATGTATAGGTCGACTTTTTTGTATAGGTCCCATATAATGGTACCCCCGATTTTCGGTATTTTGATAATATTCGCATCATTTTTTTCACGGATTTGCTCAAAAATTGGTATTTCTAGTTCATAATTGGTTCTACCTCCGCTGGAGAAACATTGTAACGGCACCTCCCAAGTTTCCGTATTTTGATGATTTTTGCCACATTTTTCTACGGATTTGTCCAAAAATTGGTATTTATAGCTCAAAATGGGTTCTAGCTCCGGTGGCGAAACATTGCAAGTATAGGTCCATATTTTTGTATAGCCCCTACAGGATGGTACCTCCGGATATTTAGTATTTTGATGATTTTCGCCACATTTTTTTTTCGAATTTGTCAAAAAATTGGTTTTTGTAGTTCGCAATGGGCTCTTGCTCCGGTGGCAGAACACTGATGATACACACCGGTATTACGTATTTTACCCACGAAATTGTTTCAAATTTGGTATTGAAGAAGATTTGCTAGATGACAATCCTTGAAATATAAAATTGTCTCTGGAGGTTCCCCTCTTTATATGGCCCCCATATAAAGACCTCACCCACTTTATGGTTCTTTGAAAAGTTGAACAGAATTATCCGAATGGTCTTACTGATATTTGCTGTTTAAAGTGGAACACATTTGAATTTAGATACTTTTATAAAAAATGTTTTCTTTACCCAATGGTGGAGGGTATTAAAAGTTCGGTCCGGCCTTTTATTACTTGCTTTTTTACTTGTTTAAACAAACAAAAACAATCCCCTTGTGGATGTGGAGCAACATTACGTGTTAATTTTTAAACATCAACGCTCTTTGCATATAAAATGCTGCTGAAATAAAGTTCCTAAGAGCGAAGTGTCGACAAAGCAATTTTGATTCCGATGGTTTCAAGTTAATGCCTTTTGCATGCGAGCAACTCAACAATAATAATAACAGGCCAACAATCACATTCTTTGGAATAACAGACGAAGAAGTAGTAATCATTACAATGAACAAAAAAAAAATAAACATTATTTTTCGAAACTGACTTCTTGACAGGAATTTTATGCTGAAA